TTCCAATTACAAGGCTTCATTGAACCTAACTTGTTTTCATTCGACAAACCCTAAACATGTCCTCAGTAAGCAAGGTACAGGACACATACACTTGGTACCTCAGTAGATAAATAAATTACTCCACCATGTAAACCTTTTGCCGTAGAGACACACCCTTAAACCACGGAAAACTATTGTGGTTATAGTATATAGTCGTGCACTTGGTGGTAAACAACATGCCTACATAACACTTGCAGTGCCACCCAAAATTTGATATGTAAAGTTGTTATACTGCGTACGTGTGCGGTATAACATCGTCACTCTGGGACATCAAGTTGAAAAGTCCCACATACATGTCACCACAAGCTTTAAGTCTACAAAACCGGAAAACCGTGAAGCTCACATTAATGTTCGGTAGCAAAAATTAGTATGTATTTGGTATTTCATATCAAATAATACGATTTTCATCCTATCATCAAAAATCGTAATTTGGTGTATGATGTAACGAATTGATTTTCGCAAGACGATAACGTAGTATTTTACTCGTGATAGATCTCGTACTACCCGAGCTCCTCCACGAATCTTATTAGCCCACTCTTGGTTTTGCAGATGTTCATTGAACGCCTTTGCAAAATATAGCAGCAATTATACGACACTGACACATTGCTCATCACTTAACGCAGGCGTTTATTTTTAATCCCATCCAAAATTATCAGTCGATACACTCACCACACGACACTTTGCATCTGTATAATCATACAAAGAAATAACAGGTGAAGGTATTTCAACGACACGTTAAAACAGCAACACAAAGCTCCTTCTCTTTTGAGTTTAAGGAGGATGTTTGGAATGTTGGATTTAAAAGGAGGATTCTGAAATTTTGTGAAACAAAAAATTCACCTCGAATACGTGGAAATATAAATCATTTTCAAATTAAATGAACTCATGAGCAGAAACGTACAGACAAACGTAAAAGCGGCAGAAAGTAACAATATTAAACCGAGGGGTGTATTTTTAGCCATAAATTAAGGGTCGGTAGAAAACGAGTTTTTCATATGGCACGACTACCGGGTTAACACGAGTTTATAAATGGTAAAATTAAACGCATAAATAACGAAACGAAACTGGATGTGTAGTTCGAATGTTCTTATTTCTGGTGCATTCGTTTTGAATAGGGCATTAAAAAGAATATGACTGAGATTTTAAGGCTACCCATTGTAGTAAAAGATTTTTTTAAAGTATGTAAGTATTAGTTGAACATTTTGCAAAAAATATTCAACTTCTCAAATCGGACCCTAAGCGTGATAAAACCACACTGCCTCCTTGTCATAAACAACGCATTTGCATTTTTCGAAGACAAAAAAAAGCTAGAAAAATGTCATTTAAAACGTTAAATGAAAAAAAATGTAACCGAAATAATTATTCGAAAAAATTCGACAGTCTTTAGTTAGTTTAGACTTTTTCCATTCTCTAACAAAATATCCCTTATAGAACAAGGTCTCGAAACTGACAAGCCTAGTGGCCACTAGGCTTGCCATTAAGGAAATAATAATAACAACAAAGTCTTTTAAATTTGTATTGAATTGATATTCAATCATTTTATGTGAAATTACTCCACTAGTTTGTTATAATGATTAATACAAAGATCGAACACTCAGAAATAATTCCCTCGATCCGGTCGGATTCGAACCAACGTCTTTTAGCATACCGTGTTAGACGCTATACCAGCTAAGCCACATAACGAACCAGCGGACCTCACGAATTTTTCTATGTGCTTGTTGTCGTATCTTTATATTTGGTTTTTCAACGACTTTTTAACCGTAGCGCCATCTATGAGAAATCTATGAAAGTATTTCGTCATTAAGTATTTCGTTAGTATAACAAAGTCTGTCAATAAACAGTTGGTCTCATTTATTTCATTTGTCAAGTGCTGTTTAAAAAGTAAATTACCACATATATGCTTAACATAAACTTGACTTTATATAATATCTAACTTAACTTTATATAATATTAGTCGTAGTAGAGCTTCTTGAGCCGTCGCCGAGTGTAGTAATGTGAGCATTACCGTGTTACCCTTATGACTTTTTGGCTCACCGCCCACTAAGGCAAGATAAAAAAATTTCAAGGCCCACCACCACTAAAAATAATCGAAAAGACGTATTTTTTTGTTAACTTAACGCAAAAATCACAAGGAAAATATATATATATATATTGCAATGTAGTTTACATAGATTTTTTTTTAATGCAATAACACCCCCTGAGTAGCATCAATCCCCCTAGGACTCTGGGACAGCGCCCACTGGGGGGTGACCACTTTGAGAAACTATGCGTTAGGGTCAAGGTTGCTGACATCGCACTGTTAGTACAATAATATATTAACTCAAAGAGTGTATTTTTCCAGAATTAATGAAAAACTAATTATTCACTTGCCGAGAAATATTGTTAAAACTTATGCATAGTTTAAAGTATTTTTAGTAAGCTGTTTTGTCCAGAAATAGCTCACAAAAAAAATTGTCTCATTTTGAGTTAAATAGAAATATTTTAATTGTTTCTTGCAATACTCAAACGACGGTTTTATTGACTTGAAGAGAATCAAATATTAAGTTCAGCTGTAGTATAATCTTGAATTTCATATATTTTGAGTTACAACATTATTGTAATAGCAGTGCGATATAAGTACAAATGAGATTTGTCAAATTATACCCCTGGGTTACGGGCGCAGTTGCAGTGCCCCTCTGACATTTGCGATTTAAAGCTCTGACTGACACTGCAACTGTTATGGACAGGTGTGTCACTCACCATAAGGCGCACGGCTTGACAACATAAAAAAACACATCAGCTTATTCTGTTATTACACTCCCACCTTTCATTGAGTCTTTATCATCGAGTATTACCACAAATAGAGACGAAACGAGATATCATTTGTTTGAAAACTATTCTGCCAAATCATTACGGCGACAACTGCACTCCGATTGGCCAGCCCAAATCCGAAACAATTGACGGGTGTCGGCAATTGTTTCACTTCAAAACGGCCAGTTTCACTTGAACTTTGTTATAATGCAGGAAAATTGAAAAATTACATATTTAATATTTAATTACCGATGAAATGTGATTCCGTTTGTTTTGTAATTAGATGTTTTGCTGTTTTTCTCACACCACCGAATGGAACAGCCCACATTGTTAGAGGTATTGACGTTATTACACATTGACTTACAATTATATGAACGTCGGGTCCGCGCTAAAAAGTGTCCGAACTTATAGGGCGTTAAAATCGTATACAGAGCGTCATTCACGCTTTAGTCTTCGTTTGTTCGACTGATAGCGAAGCAAGCAAAATTAGACAGTACTGCGATGACATTACAATTTAAATTCAACGTTTTACCTTTTTCATATTCCTTTACATGTCACTACATTTAAATTAGTTGACTTGGGACATTTTTTTCGTGGTTTTTGTATTAGACCCGTCGTCCATTTATTTGTAAGTCAATGTTATTACAATAAATACAGAATATTTTTGGAATATACTAATAATATAATAATATCAATGACTAGGCATCGAGCTATTCAACTGTCATTGCAATGTTTTTGTATTCTTCTCTTCAATGGCGAGTAGATTACACAGTGCACTAATATTAGGTATATATAATATATGTTTAATTTGAAGACTAAATTGCTGACAAAAGGAGAGAAAAAATTAAGTTATGCGTTGTCAGTTCCATGTTAGTTTTAGTAAGGTAACATTAGTAATTAGTGATTGAATGAACGAATGCCATACTACCATTTCACTCCATAATCCATTATTCCATACCATTCCATTATCTTACTCTGCGATACTTACATTACCGTCGTTTTGTCATTGTAATTTTTAATGTGCAATAAAGAATATTTCATTCATTAATTCATTCCACTGACACTATTGATACTCATTTACCATTGTAACTAGATTTTAGTAAAATAGCAAATATTATTATAATTGCAACATAATCTCAACGGAGTGTCAGGGAACTAAAATGGCCAGTGGTATAAGTTTTTAAGTGGCCCTGAGCTTCTTTTTCGTATTTCCATTTGTGAATATCTGTAATTGGCTCTCGGTCCGTATTAAACACAGTGATAGCCCTGCACTAGGGAGACCCTGTGTCGCGGGTACCAAGGATACGCAATGGAGTGTCATGGAATTACAATGGTCAAAGGTTTCAGGAAAATTAGTAGAATTGGGCCCCCGGTATGACGAGGTCATTGGTTCGAGTTCAGGACCGAAGAATTATCACGAAAAATATATGAGTATCATGGTTGTAAAAATAACACGATAATCAATAAAGAAAATAATAATAATAACGCACACACTCAACATAGCCCCGTACTAGGGAAATCCTGTGTCGCTGGTACCATGGATACACACATAGACAACCACAAATTACACCTAAACTCACGACAGATATAAATGTAAACCATGCAAATATTTCTCCCGGTCCGGGAATCGAACCTAGGATCTCTGCGTGTCATGGTAACCGTTCAACCACTGAGGCAGTTAAAGTAAAAAATATGATTATACTCAAATTGTTTAAAATACTAACAAAAATTTGTCGGTATTTATTGTTTTCATTGTATGTAATTACGTGCAATTTGCTTTCCTAAACACTACAACAACATGGGGACAATAGAAAGAATTTACAAACAAAACAAGCAACTTTTTCAAAGAATCATATTATGTAAACAAATTGTAATAAAAATATTACTCAGTCTCGATTCACCATTCAATAAAGATGGAGCAAGTGTATCACATGTGATTGTAAATGAATTTAATACGAAAAATACAAATAAAGATGTATAACATTACAGATATGACGTACGTGAGCACTGTTAAGAAAACGGTGTACAAATACATCGCACTGGGAGTGATAGTTATAATAATTACAATACTGTGTGTTTTACCGCCATTTTTGTCGTATAGTGAAACTATAGTGATAAAACGGCAAACGTTTCCGACGGACTTGAAGTATATTCTATTCTGGACAGCGCCAAACACGAACACAGAAAGGAAACCCTTCATAGGAAGATATAATAGTAAGCAAGGAGTATATTCCACTGGACAACTAATGTTTATAACTCAAAAATGTCCATATATCAACTGTTATATAACTTACAATAAAACTTTCATAGATAGTGAATATTTTGATGCGGTGGTTTTTGAGGCACGCGAAATATTCCACGTGAAAATCGACAATTTTAACCTAACAAGATCACCAGATCAGAAGTACATTTTTAAATCTCTCGAACCGTCTGAATATTTGCCAGTATGTCACGGTATATACGACAGCTTCTTTAACTGGACATGGACATACAAGCTAAACTCTGATATAACCCATACTTTTATCAATATTTACAACGACAAAGACAAGCTAATAGGTCCTGATAGAAATTTGAATTGGATAAGTAAAATGAATCGGACCGAACAATTTACGAACGTAGTAAAAAGAAAAACCAAAGCAGTAGCATGGTTTATTGGGAAATGTAAAGTCAAATCCAAACATAGAGAATTTATTGATGATCTAATAAAAGAATTAAAAGCCTACAACTATACTATAGATACATTTGGACCATGTGGTAGAACACAATGTGAAAAAGGTCAAAATGAATTATGCCATAAAACGATTGAAAGTGATTATTACTTTCAACTCGTCTTGGAAGAATCAACATCGGAGGACTTTGTCACGGAGAGACTTGCAAAAGTGCTGTCTTATTTAACGATACCTATAGTATCGGGGGAAGTTGACTACGGCAGGTAATTAATAAATTTTTATATCCTGATATGCTGCAAATAGCGTTTCTAGCGTAACAGTTAGGCGTATGGACGGTTATTGAGAAATATAGACTGTAGTAAAATTTTTCCTCCTCCAAGACAAGCTCAGCTTACTGGCTATACTGCCAGATCTTAGATTGTAATTTTTATTCAATAGTTTAATTTTCTAATATTTTTTTCGCGGGAAATAGTTATGTCTTTACGGTGGTCATTTTTTAAATCAGAAATAAACACAGTACATAATTTATAATTTTTTTTTCTTTTATTTTATTTCAGATTTATGGCTCCGGGGACCTACTTAAGCACACAGTTTTTCGACTTAAAAAAGCTCGTCGCCATTATACATTACCTAATACTGAATCCTAGAATTTACGAATACTTTTTTGACTGGAAAAACCATTATCGCTACACCACAAGGCCTAGAAATTACATGTGTGACTTGTGCACGAAGTTGAATAATCAATCTTACTTGGAAGAACATAAGACTTATGAACAATTCAGGCACTGGTGGAACCCAGGATATCAGGAAACTTGTAAAAGATGGCATTTGTACAGGTTATTTACAAGGAAAGATTTTTAAGACCCTTTCACAATCATTATTATTAATATAAATGTTAAATGATTTTTTACTGTGCAATTTTTTTGTTTGGTAGCCGTTTATTAATGACCATGGGAAGTTGTTTCGTGAAGTGGTTGATCAGACGTAACCAAACTACGTTTTGAATTCGTACTTTCTAATTTGGAACTCTAAAAATGACAATGTAGCATGCGCAGAGGTGGGCAAGCGACCGGGTTTTAACTCGGCGGGTGTTAACGCCGAGTTCAAATCGGGTTAACGCCCGAAAACGAGAGCAAATTAACAAGTCGTGCACCTGGTGGTAAGCGATGCGACTGTCGATAACATTTGAGAGCTTATTTAAATCGCAAAGATTTGAGGGGCACTGCACTGCGACCGTTACCCTGACACATATTATAAGTCCCATGTGTGTGTAGTTTCACGAGAACTCTTACTCTTCAAAATCGGAACGCAGTAATGCTCACATTATTGCTGATAGCAGAAATAGGTAAGATGGCAGTACTTCCATGGACAAACTCTTTCACAAGGAGCTCTACCTACTGCTACTATTTTATTTATTATTAGACCTTGTATTATTTCAAAAGCAATAAAGGACCTTCCTCCGGAAAGGGCTATGATACGGGAATGTATGGTACATCGCGCATTGCTAATGGAAAGCTGGACCAACTATAATTGCGTGAGAAGAATGACAGCGGTTACATTGACATTTTGTCTTTCCCACTGTTTTTCTATCACTGTTGAGAGCCTTGTACTGTGTTTAAAGTTTTTAATAACTAAGTTGTTCGAATTTATTTTATTTAAGCGTGTCGGCGTACGCGATGACCGCTGTCCGGGGGAGCAGCGCGCCCCTCAGTACCCAATCGTACCCCAGGTTCCACAGTAGTAGTTCTAACACGGACCCCTGGGGTACTCCGCACCTCATTGGGTGCTCGGCGCGCCTCCCTTCCCTCGTCTGGTAGAGCACCACCCTGTCCTCCAGGTAGTGCTCCACCAGACGGCTGAGGTACCTGGGGTTCTCGTGGTACCTCAGCGCCTCCCTGATAAAGGCGAAGGGGAAAGTGCCGAAGGCGTTGGCTATGTCCAGAGACACAGCCACTACGCCCTCCCTCTCGCCGTTAGCCTCCTCCACGATGTGTCGCAGCGACTCTAGGGCGTCCAAGGTGGACAGTTCAGCCCTGAACCCGTACTGCCGCTGCGACATATCGGGGCCTGTCCCCCTCAGGTGTTCGTTGATCCACATCGTCAAGCAGGACGAGGGGCCTGAACCCCGAAGGGGAGTACCCTGGTCGGCCAGGCATGGGTATCAGGATGAGCCTTCCCTCCTTCCAGCATCTCGGGAACAACCCCGTCATCAAACAGTCGTCCATGAGTTGCTTGAGGCGGGTCCCGAGATGCTTCAGGGCAATGCGGAGTACTCGTCCCGGTACTTCCGCCCTCGCAGCCGTCTCACCGCCCACTCCATCTCCCCCTCGGTGATTTCCGGGGGGTTTTCCTCAGTCTGCCCCCCTTCTGCTCTAGGGGGCATCATGGCCGGTGGGGTGAAAGGGCTGCGTTTCAGGGAAGAGGCCCTCCACCACCCGGTTGAGGAGATCCAGCTCCAGTGACTCCATGGGGGATGCGCCGTACATTTTGTTGCGCACAAGTTTGTACGGCCTCCCCCAATATACCGGACCTTCTAGCCAACCTTTTGGTTCTGAGAGCCTTCTTACGCAATGAACAGAAGAGTGTAAAGTAATTCCAGTTTTTTTTAAATTTGTATGTATGTAAAGTAATTAAAGATCAAATTGGCTTAAAAGTTTCTTAAAATGTCATTTACTAATAAGAAAGTCTTAGCAAAATTAGGGAGTAATTTAGGGCATCGATTGTACAAAACATGTTTTCTCCTCAAAGCAACCTTTTGGTGACTTTCCCGAACTTATGAAAGAAAATCAACAAGTATGGAACATTTGATATTTTTTTGGCTAATTAAGGGTTACTATAATAAAAATTGTTCATATTGACGGGAATGATTGTAATTCAGATATTGTAAAGTAAAAAAGTGTCTCCCTGTATAGAAAAAAAAGGCTTCATATCTCTTTATTAAATCTACGTTATCCGTAATAGATCCGTTCTTTTGCATACGAAGGGGGCACATCTGTGATCGACGTACAGATTTATTATTGAATACTTTTTTCATTCTCTCTTTCACTGACAATGCGAAAGGCCATCCGTCTTTGGCTGTTTTCTTTTTTTGTAACGTCTTTATTTACGAAGCGATTTTGTATAAATTGAGTTATTGGGGATCTTTTGGGGATAAAGTTAGATAGGTATCTTTCCTTTTTTTTCGTGATAGTACACAAAGTGAGTGGACGAGAACAAGACAAGGTTACCTACAACAGTTACAGTGTCACTATAAATCCCAAAGATCTAGGGGGTACTGCCACTGCGCCCGTCATCCAGAAACATTAATCATAATCATATCATTTATTGCTTTACGTGGTACAAATGGTCTTAAAGCTATTATTACATTCCAACATAAACCCTGTAAGAGCACTGCAGTTGACTTACTGACTATACTAATATATTAATACTAATAGGTACACATAGATCAATGTCAACTGAACTTACTATACTATACACATAATATCATGTACTTTTACTATCGAAATACTCCTATAAGTCATAGAAACAGTTCGGGGGCAAGCAACTTTTAAGAACATTTGCGAACACGTAATTATTTTCAATGTTTCTTGAACTAAGAGGTATTTTGTTATAAATTTTTATTGCCATATTGTGTGCACTTGAGCTAAAAATTTCTAAATGTTTTAAAAACGACCAATCAATTTGTTTCGCGGTTCCTTGTCCAAATAAGTGCCAGTATTTGCATACAAACTTACTATATTGTTGTACTAAGTTGACAAAGTTCGAGCGTCTTCTTTACTCTTACCCTAGCAAATGGGACTGTATTACTGCTTTGCGGCAGAAATGGGTACGGTGGCAATATTTGTCTTTAGAGTTCTATTTTTAACCGACTTCAAAAAAAGAGGATTTTGTTTATGTATGTTACGCTATAACTCATTTGTGAACCGATTTTAATGATTCTTTTTTTGTTGGAAAGAGGATACCTCACTAGTGGTCCCATTTATTCCACTTCAAAGGGTGGCAAACTAAGGGATGAAGCCGGTTTCGTGGACTTTCCGGTAACCGATTTCAATAAAACTTGGCAAATAGGTTTAATTCCACGAACTTTTGAGGTCGGTTTTTTAGTACTCTACACTGAGATTATCTGCGTTCTTGTTAGAAAAGAAATGGCTGGATATTGTCTACGATAGAAAATCGATACAAACACACTCAATATATTGACAATATATGACTATGATTTATCGATCATTTCGCACGGGGAGAGACACGTCTGTGGTAATGTAGACGCGTCCGTGCCGATGCCATTGTCAGTATCAAGCGAAAACAAGACGAGGCCGGTGCTCGGCCACATCACATATGAGACTAATTCGCGTGTAAAACCAAAACCAAATTAATAATTCACAAACATAGCTAGTCCATTAAAATTCTTCATAAGTAATATAATATACGTTTTGCATATGAAACTGACATAGAGTAGATTCTATGTAAAGCGTATTTCAGTAATACAACATTTCTTAACAAAGATTTGAAATTTGTTCCAATACCTATTTCCCGAATTAAACCTGCTAGGAAATAAAAAATTACGTCAAGGAAAACGTAGAATAGGACGCCCTGCGACATGATGGGCGAACGACGTGAGAAAGGTTGCCAGCAGCGGCTGGATACGGGTACTCAAGAGAAGGATTATGTCCTGCAGTGGATGTGTGTAAGCTGATGATGGTGAAATAAACAAAATCAAAAACACAACCGATTTTAAATACTACCAGCAAAGCTAAATGAAGTGGATGAATTCTAAAGTACGCGACAGGGTTCCCAATATGCTAACAGTGTCCCCACTTTGTAAGACTACGCATATGAATACGTTGCGCAAGGTGGCTGCCAGCTTTTGAATAGTTTAGTAGCAACAGAGCTCCTTGTGAAAGACTTCGTCATGGAAAGTACTGCCACCTTAACCTATTTCTGCCACTAAGCATTAATGTTAGCATTATTGCGTTCCGGTTTTGAAGGGTACGGGTGCTGGTGAAATTTCAAGCAGTGTAGCTTACCATCAGACACACAACTTGTTCGTCCCGTCACTCGATATTATAAAAAAAAGAATATTCCCAACTACATGCTGATTTTGATTCAAATTGGAATTGTATTGATCGGGTAACACATCCGAGTCTCGAAATCGGATGGGTTTCCGAGAGACAAGATGAACCTGATTCCTACTTTATCTTTCTAATTTGTGAGTTAAATCTATTAACTATTAACTATTGTTCCGATTTGAAATGTCAAAAGTTTCCGAT